CCCTACACATGTGCAGTAAGGTGATTGTGAACCTCAGCTCCCGACATGGTCTCAATCGAGCTCCAAAACTGGATGACTCATGAGGCTGCACTAGAAAACTGCACACGCCACAGCGGGCATCAAGGGCATTCGCCCTCCAGAATCCTACTGAACCAGTTTTGTGACCTGTGCTGACTCCTTCATTGCTGTTAGTTGAAATTCATGTGTTGGTATTGGTAGTGAGAGTCCTGCAGGGCATGGGTCTTGGTTTGGAGACCTCATCTCTTTCTAGGAACCACTGCAGTAGCAAGGGGTTCTTTGTAGTTTTATTTTTGGGAACACTTGTTTGCATTTGGTTAAGAGCAGTAAATCCGTTACTTCTGCTTTCTCTCCTCCTTCACCCTCTCTCTTCTCTGGAAGCCAGGCCGTGGTGGGTGGGTTCTTTGTAGTTTTATTTTTGGGAACACTTGTTTGCATTTGGTTAAGAGCAGTAAATCCGTTACTTCTGCTTTCTCTCCTCCTTCACCCTCTCTCTTCTCTGGAAGCCAGGCCGGTACCATTCGTCTCAATTCCATAAAGTAGTATTCTCAAAGGTCACTAACGTAGGTCATTTCCTGACAGGATCTCGTTCTCCTTTCCCATGAGTACTGCACACGCTGCCTTGTCCTCCCATTCACAATGGCATAGCAGCACAGTGGTGCAGAAGAATGGCCGTACTGGGTCAGATCAAAGGTCATACTAGCCCAGGGGCAGGCAATTTTTTGCCAGGGGCCACTTCAGAAATTTCTGAAATTTTTGAGGTGGCCCCAGACTGCTCCAGAAGGGGCAGGGCCTCAAGCAAAAGGGGTGGGGCCTGCTTCCCCACCCACAGACCATGATTGGATTGGGGGTAGGGGAACATGTGAAGTCTTTGCCCCCTCCCCAGAGGTTTCCCCTAGGCGCCCATGCCCCTGGGTGGGAAGAGACTTTGCACTCTCTCCCTTGTGCCCCCAGGCCAGTCAGTGCTCGGGGGCGGGGGAATGCGTGAAGTCTCCTCCCACCCTGTGAGGAGCGCGTGGCACTTCTAAGCTCTGTGCATTCCTGGCAGGGGGGGCAGGGTGGAAGAAACTTTGCGCACTTCCCTGCCCTCCAGGCCAATCAAGGCTTGGGGGCAGGGGGAGCTCGCAAAGTTTGCCCTGCCCTGCCAGGAGCACAAGGCATTTAGAAGTGCCGTGCGCTCCTGGCAGGGCGGAGGAAACTTCGTGAGCTTCCCTCTGCCCCCAAGCTCTAATTGGCCTAGGGGCGGGGGAGCAGCAGGGTCTCTGCGGGCTGGATCTGGCCCACCGAGGCCCTTTTGCCCACCCCGGTCTAGACCACTGCCAGGTGCCCCATGGGGAGTGAACAGAACAGGGAATCAAGTGATGCCTTTCCTGCCCCTGACACATAGAGGCTAAGGACACCATTCCTACCCATTCTGGCTAATAAGTATTGATGGACCTAACCTCCATGAATTTAGTTCTTTTTTGAACCCCGTTAAAGTCCTGGCCTTCACTACATCCCCTGGCAAGGAGTTCCACAGGTTGACTGTGTGCTGCATGAAGAAAAACTTCCTTTAATTTGTTTTAAATCTACTACCTATTTTCATTTGGTGACTCCTAGTTCTTATATTATGGAAACAAGTAAATAACTTTATCTTACTCACTTTCTCCATACCTGTCATGATTTTATAGACCATATTCCCTTTAGTCTCCTCTATCATATTCCCCTTTAGTCTCCTCTTTTCAAAGCTGAAAAGTCCCAGTCTTTTTAATCTCTCTTCATATGGCAGCCTTCTAAACCCCTACGCATTTTGTTGACCTTTTCTGAACCTTTTCCAATACCAATATATCTCTTTTGAGATGAGGCGACCACATCTGTACGCAGTATTCAAGATGTGGGCCTACCATCGATTTATATAAAGGCAATAAGATCATCTTTGTCTTATTCTAGGTCCCTTTTTAAGTGATTCTTAACATACTAGCAACAATAACTAATATATAAAATAAAAATGAAGTATTCAAGCTGCTATATTACACATCAGCAAGACAGGCCAGTGCAGTAACCCTCTGCCTTCCTGTCCTCAGATGGAGTACAGCCCTTGCTGTGTGTCTCAGGTTTGTCTCCTTTTCCAGGAGACCCAGGATCACTTCTGCTGTGACGGTGAATTTCTGTAGCCTTACCCATTGTACCCCATTCAGCTATTATCTCCGGCTTCACAACAGTGATTTATTTTTGACTGACCTCTAGTTGGATTTTCTCCTTTGCTCACTTTCCTGTGGGAAGGGCTTCCCTTTCTTCTGCAAATGGGTTCTAAACAGGGAACTTCCAAACTGGTCTGTGTGCAGAAGTAGAAATGGCACTGGCTGTTTCTAACGCCATGTCCAGCGTTCAGTACCCTAACAGTGCGTGTGTGGTATCAGCATGTATCTCTCAGCACTTCATCCATCGTCAAGGGTTTCATACCTCCCTTTGATCGTCCATTGTGGGCCATTATCAGACAAAATGCCAGAGAGGGACTGGCCATTGGTCTAAATCACTATGGTAATCCAGATGTTAATTTAAATAGTCCTTTATTTTATTGCCCATATATGGCACTACCCTACAAGCTGTTGCATTAATGTCATATTCAGCTATGCTCACTACCAACCCATATTTATAAGTGGCTTTGAGAGCTGAATGTATGCTAATGATACCCTTTTCTTTCCTCACGTACAGAATACATTCAGAAATATGCAACAGAAGAAGCACTAAAAGAACAGGAAGAAGGTACCGGGGACAGCTCATCAGAGAGCTCCATGTCTGACTTCTCGGAAGATGAGGCCCAGGATATGGAATTGTAGTAGAAGAAGCAACCTGCTTTTCAGAGAGACTATTATTTCCTAACCATGAGAAGCAGACTATAATATTCATATTTAAACAAAGCAATTTTTTTTATTACTAAACAAGGTTTTTATGAATAATAGCATTGATATATCTATATCGCCCTTTAGATCTTGATTTCTTGGTCATTTCTCAAACCCAAGGTGTATAGCATATTCCCACATTCCATTTTGGTAGCAATATGCAGCCTGAATGCATGCATTCATAATTCCATTTGGCCAAGTCAAGTCAACTTGTGTGCTACTGAACTGTCAACTCAACCAGCTGCTCTGATAGGCAGGGGCTGAAAGGTTTCCTTTTGATCAGTGGTTCCACAGATACTACTTTGGATGATAAGATGGAACGGCACTTTCTCAAAGTAAAAAAATCTAGGGGATAATGTCAACCGTGTTTAGATCAGACAGTGAAATAAAAGGTGCTCCTTCCAATCAAACGCGCCATCCTGTTTTGTGGAGTTGCATTTAAAAAGTGCACGGAGTTATTCAGAGCATCGAAGCTTAAAAAATGACTTGGATTTTAAGTACACTTTTATATTGGACTCCTGCTCGCCCTCTGAACTATAGGGACCTACAACCACTCATCTCCTTTTGGGATTTTTGAAACCCTTCATCTGGACTTAACTCATTTTCTTGGTCTGGATTATGAGCTGTTCCCTTTTTTGGGGGGAAAAACCCACAATGCTATACGAAGAGTGCTTTAATTTACCTGGAGCACATACAAAGGCAAATTGTCATAGATTTGAAACTGCTACCCTGTAATAGCTTCAAGCTTTCCTTCTTGCTTGAAGTATGGTCAAACACCTTGTAAACAATCTCTCTGTCTCCTAAAAGAAGGTTCTCTGACCAGATGGACTAGCCTTGCTGAGAGCTTCAGACCCATGAAGATTGGTCCATTGGCCATAGTCCATGAATCCACTGGCACATCCTCCCTCTCATTTTTGTTTCTTTTTTCCCTTCTGCAGCAGCTTGGTAGCCATCTGCTTGTGTGTACAACAGACCAAACTAAAGTTTAACCAAGAAAGTCATCTAGGCATATTTGAGATCAATTAAAAAAAACCACAAACTCGGGAAACAAGCAAATAATTTCAAGGATTCTGAATGAGAAATTTAATTTCTTCTGGTGTATTTCAACATGCTACTTTTCTTAATCATTATTTAATGGTAAGAGAACCTAATACAGTAAATGCCTACCTGGGTTGCCATAGATACTTGAATTTGGATAATTGTACATTTGGAATCCTAACAATGATGGATTTTAAATCTGAATGTTACCAACTATATTCTTAGGGATTTCTGAGGGGTTTGGATAGTCACATACTTTAATACTTTTTGGTGAAGACTTCAGGACAGTGCATGGGAATTCAGCCCATGCTGAGTGATTCTTGAACAGAGTATTTTGAATGTCAGACTGGACTGAGTAAACATTTCTCATGGTCCCACAAATGTGTTTCTTTTGGGAATGCCACCAAGTTTTGAGTTGACGGGGTTGAAAGATACAATCCTTTTTTAATCCATAAAGCACAATCAGTTTTTTTCTTTTGGAAAAAGCTATATGAAGTACAATTTTGCTTTAGCATGATTATTTTCCTTAATAAAAATAACATACAAAGGGATTTACTTATTTTATGTTAATTATGGGCATGAAGCAAAAGGTTTTTCTCCTTTAAAAAAAAAAAAAGCAGTAATGTAGGACTGTGGTTAGTTACTGTGCTGAAGTTCTCTATCTAGCATTTGTGGCTTGTTGGAAGGGTAGTATTAACTATTTAACATGTAATGGTGTACTTTAACTCTTATCTAGCACGCGGTTTTCTCATTACTTTGGGGTGGGGGCAGAACTGGGCGCACACTCTGAACTGGCATTTTGCTTGTGCTTTAACCTTTAACTGTAGGTGCTATTTAGAGGTAGTCTAAGTGCTGGGTGGTGATATCAGTTTAAAAACAACAAAACAATAAACATTTGTATTTTTTTCAATATTGTATAAAAATAGTGTTCTAATTACCTCTAATTTTTCCCCAGGTAATTGTATTGCTCTTCCCCCAGTCTAGTCAATGACCAGGTTTAACACTTTCATGCATTTCCCTCATTTGAAGAAGCCAATTTTCTGATAAAGAGGTGTCGTGTCCTAAGTTTCCAAAAGACTTGCAATTAGAGCTGCAAATCTAAGGTAGACTCCCGGAACAGTAAGCACACGTTTTACTGCATTGGTATCTAGGTGTGAAGATGCTTCTCTTAGTTCCCTGCTTCCTCCGCATGTGACTTCATGCATGCAGGCAGCAGCATCAAGGTATTTGTGTGTATAGATCTGGAGCATCTTCACAAGATATTTCGTTGATATTAGTGGAGCTTAATACATGACAGCTGTAGCATTGCCTGCAGCGTGTCAAAAAGATCATCTTGGTATATTTCGTGTTTGCTCATTCTCCCTGGTAGCAATGGCAGAAAAGGAAGCCTGCCATAAATTGTCCAATGCCTACAGTTTAAAGGAATATGGCCTAGTGTAAACCTCTCATAGGGAATAAATTCAAATGGATTTCCCTTCTTCCTAGTGGGGAACAGCTGCGTATTGCCTCGTTCTGCCCCTTCTCCCATCTTTCCCCTCCCTCCCCATGTCAGATAGGAACAGTCTGTAAATAAACTACACATCCTTAGTCTGGAAGAGAAACATGGAATCCTCCTAAAGCAGGATACCCAGATTTTTTTCAGTTCCAGTTTCTTTTGAAATGCTAATGCTCTTTTTCCAGAAGAATTACTGCCATTCTCTTCCCCATTCAAGTAGCTGAACCTCGAAGCGTCACCCAGGTGGAAATTAACATGCCTACTCCAACACGACCATGTTTGAGCCACTGTATGTAGATTTGTGCGGTCAATAAATCCCTGAACATGAAGGTTTGTGAGTAACATATTTTAGAAGTACGCGCTTCGACTTCACATTTGGCACCTTGTTTTGAAGCTTTGTGTCACTTAACGCAAATTGAGAAATACCAAAGCTGCCCCACATCCACAGATGCGTCTCAAGAAGCTACACAAATCGCCAACTAGGTTAATCTTGAACTTCTTCAGATGTGTTTTCCCCTCTCCTTGAGGTTCCAGGTGTATTTTCTTGGTTCATTTGACTTGCATCATGACAATTATAGACTTCAAAAATCTAAAGCAGTGACATCTCAGTGTGAACAGAGTGGAATAATGCCTGGCAAACGAACTGGTAATGGGCAAAACATTGGTCAGAGGAAGAAATATTGAAATTAAATGCTATTATCTCTGAAGTACAGATTGGCCAATTAGGTTTATGGGAGCATTAAAGTACATAGTCACTTCCCATCCTACGTTTCCGAAAGAATTACCATTAGAGCTGCAAATGTAAGGTAGATTCCTGGAACAGTAAGCACACGTTTTACTGCATTGATTTCTAGGTGTGATGATGCTTCTCTTGGTTCAAATAGCCATGTTTGATCACCACCCCGTATTACCTGTCTTCAGTGCACACAAACCAGGGAGAAGGAGTCCGTTTTTCCCCATGAGGGATGAGAAATGCTTAGAACCTGGGCTGCCGTTGGATTCCCCCCTTCCCCCCAGCAAAATGAATCACAGGACATTCTGATATAAGTGGTAGCTTTCCCATGGGCAAGGCCCCCACATACTGCCCTCAGATCTATTCCACACCACACAGGGGGCATTGAGGAGATGGCAGGGCTGTTGGTTTGATTTTTTTTTCTTTTGCTTCCTTTTGCTCATCTGAGTTTGGCTGGCACTTTAGCAGGAGCGTGTGCAGCATGAGAAATGGCCATTATTTTACTGACTGTATTTGTTACCTGTTGTGTGATACTTGAAGAGATAAAGGGTGTTTTCCCATAATTTGAGTCTAAGCTTTTTTCTTTCATTTTCTTTTCCCCCCCTTTTTTTCCTTGCATTGTGATGATGTAGTGGGCATGCCTGTCGCCATGACAAATGCCTCTTCTCTGAGAATATAACCTCTCAAATAGTTGTGTATAATGAAAGATCTGTAAACTTTTTTAAATAAAAGATGTATATACCTTGACGCTTGCCTGGTGCTTGATCTCAGTCAGGTCTCTCCCCTTGGCACATCTCCTGTGCCTCCTATCTTATAAACCACCAACGGTTTGTGATTCAACAGCGGTTGTTAACCAGGCCGCCTGAAATTCTGCCTTCAAAACCACTCCAGGCTTTTTCGAGAGGAGGCACTCTCGTATCCCATTGCATAGGCAAAGTAACTGCAGTGTTTGGTGTAACAACTTGGTTTTATAGAGAGAGAATGTGATAAGTCAGATGGTTTGTTGAAAACAGCTGTGCTATCCCCTTGTGATGGGTGCAGTAAAAGAACCTAATTAGACCAGTATAAATTGTTCAAAAGCTTCAAAGGGGTAGCCAAGTTAGTCTGTAACTGGAAAAACTTTAAAAACAACAACAAATAGTCTTGCTGCACTTTGAAGATTAACAAAACATATGGATCAGTGTTTCCCAGGGTTCTGCGGAGTGAAAATAAGGATTCCGCAAGAAAATCCCATTACAGTAACATTTTATCATTTAAAAAAATTAATATTTAAGTGATTTTTTTTAAATATGTGCAATTAAACTAAATGTTGATCTCATGACCTTGTTTAGCACTTGTTCATTACTATCTTTGCTTATTTGTGGTCTTATTTTTTCAGCTCCATATATAAGACTGTTATTGAGGGTGCCGCAAAATTATTTCGCGTTTAAAAGGGTTCCGTGGCCAAATAAAATTGGGAAACACTGATGTAGATGGTAGCATTAGCTTTCATGGGTTGTGCCCACAAAAGATCATGATGCCATCTACTATTCGGTTTTTAAGGTTTTTTTTTTCCCCCAGTATAAATTGAGCCTACAACCAAAAGCAACCATTGGCAGATAGTGATAGAAATGTAGCCATGTTAGTCTGGTGTAGCTGAAACAAAATACAGGACTATGTAGCACTTTAAAGACTAACAAGATGGTTTATTAGGTGATGAGCTTTCGTGGGCCAGACCCGCTTCCTCAGATCAAATAGTGGAAGAAAGTAGTCACAACCATATATACCAAAGGATACAATTAAAAAAAAATGCACACACATGAAAAGGACAAATCAAATTTCAGAATAGAAGGGGGATGGGGGGGAGGTAAATGTCTGTGAGCTAATGATATTAGAGGTGATAATATCCCGTCCCCTTTTACCTCTTCTCTACTTACGCTACATCGATGACATCTTTATGATCTGGACGCATGGCCAAGAAACACTGGAGACATTCCAGAGAGATTTTAACAACCTACACCCCACCATCAATCTCAGCCTGGACCATTCCACACGAGAGATCCATTTCCCGGACACCACAGTACAAATCAGCAATGGAAAATTAGACACCACTCTCTACAGAAAACCCACTGACTCATAGTTTCCTACATGCTTCCAGCTCCCATCCAGAACACACCATACGATCCATCATCTATAGCCAAGCCCTTTGATACAACCGCATCTACTCTAATCCCACTGACAGAGACCAGAAACTTCAGGATCTCTACCAAGCATTTATAAACCTCAACTACCCAAACCATCTACTTCAAGACAGACCCAAGAAAACCAACAATAGAACACCACTTGTCATCACCTACAACCCCCAACTTAAACCTGTCCAACACATTATCAATAAACTACAGCCTATATTGGAACAGGATACCATACTCAAAGAGGCTCTGGGAGACAGACCCATAGTCTCCTATAGACAACCACCTAACCTCAAGATGATTCTTACCAACCACCACAGGACATACCACACTAATACCAACCCTGGTACCTTCCCTTGCAACAAACCCCGTTGCCAGCTTTGTCCACATATTCACTCTGCTGATACCATTATTGGACCTAACCAAGTGAATTATAAGATCAAGAACACACATTCCTGCACATCCAGAAATATAATTTATCATGTGCCGAAAGTGTCCGTCTGCTATGTACATTGGACAAACGTCTCAGACACTTTGCCAAAGGATCAATGCCCACAAAACAGATATCAGGGTCACAAAGAAAAAACAGTTTCTTGCCATTTCAACCAGAAAGGACATTGTCTCAACGACTTGATTACCTGCATCCTGTTTCAAAGGTCTTTTAAGACTACACTTGAAAGAGAATCCTCTGAACTGGCATTCATGCTTAAATTCGACACTTTACACCTAAGTTTGAGTAAAGACTCTATCTTACCCATTACAAAGAGAGCTTCCCCAATTATCACCTCTAATATCATTAGCTCACAGACATTTACCCCTCCCTCCCCCCGCCCTCCTCCTGTTCTGAAATTTGATTTGTCCTTTCCATATGTGTTCATTTTTTTTAATTGTATCCTTTTTGGTATATATGGTTGACTATTTTCTTCCACTATTTGATCTGAGGAAGTGGGTCTGGCCCAGGAAACTCATCATCTAATAAACCATCTTGTTAGTCTTTAAAGTGCTGCATAGTCCTGTTTTTTGTTTCATTGGCAGATAAGGTTTGTGAACCTTGCTTCTGGCTACCGCTAGATGGAGCTATTTGCCACCTTTCCCACAAGATCTGATGAGGGATGTAAGGGGTGTTTGAACCAAAACAGCTGTAAATTTGAATCATGCCCTAAACACGAGCAGGCTCCTTCATCCTTAGATGTTAAGTGAGTTCTTTGAGGTAACTATTTAGAGCATTATATTGACCTGAATCAAGCTGAGCACTCCCTAGAATGTGAATTTGGGGAAAAAGCACCTTGGGCTGGTTCCAAGGTGTTTGCAATTTAAGTTGGCAAAGGACCGTGTGGGGACAACAGGCCAAAGCCAGTATGCTGAGACCTCACTGTGATGGGAAGGCTTTGGGGAAGGTGGATTTGAAGGGTGTCTAGCTATAAAAGTATTGTCTTGCAAATCCAATGGGTATCGTACATTCTGATTTTACTTGGACATGCCCGGCGCCTTTTCAATAAGTTTCTCTACATATA